GCTTGGGATAGCTTCAGACCTCAATACTCAGATCTCAGCCTCCTGAGTACCTAGGATTATAGTCATGAGCCACAGTGCCTGGCTCAGGATTATTTTTCCTAATCCACGTCTTTTATGCTTCCTTATGAATTGCAGATTTTTCTAATGTAGAGAATGACATTGAGACTTTGGATATTGCATTGGATCTGTAAATTGCTTTTGACAGTATGCCTATTTTTCATTATATTGATTCTGCTAGTCCATGAGCATGGTAGATATTTCCATTTTTTATTATCTTCCATTTATTTCTTCAACGTTTTATAGTTTTCATTGTAGAGGTCTTTCACTTCTTTGGTTGATACTTAGATATTTTATTGTTTTTGAGACTATTGTGAATGTAATTTTTTATTTCTTTCTCATTATTGGTGTATAAAGCTGATTTTATATCATGCTAGATTTTTGATGGTATTTATGATATCTAGATGATGGTATAGTCAGTAGAGTTTAAGTATGAAATCATATCCTTTCCAGTATGGATAATTTGATTTCTTTCTTCTCTATTTGACTCTGTTTCTTTTTCCTGTCATGTTGCTCTGGCTAGGAATTCTATTACTTACTGTATTGAACTAAGAATGAATAGGGGAGAGATGAGTTGCATAACTTCTGTTTTGCATATCTTTTTTCTTTTTGCCAGTCCGGGGGCTTGAACTCAGGGCCTGAGCACTGTTCCTGAGCTCCTTTTGCTCACTGTCTAGTGCACTCTACCACTTGAGCCACAGCACCATTTGTGGCTTTTTCTGTTTATGTGGTACTGAGGAATTGAACCCAGGGCTTCATGAATGCCAGTCAAAACACTCTACCACTAAGCCACATTCCTAGCCCTCTATTCCTAATTTCTAATCCACCATTTAACTCTGGTCTCCTTTTTTTTGGAGTTGTATAGCTTTATGTTTTTTTTTTTCTTTTTGCTGGTCCTGGGGCTTGACCTCAGGGCCTGGGCTTTGTCCCTGAGCCTTTCTGTGCTCAAGGCTAGCGCTCTACCACTTTGAGCCACAGTGCCACTTCTGGCCTTTTCTGTGTAGTTTATTGGAGATGAGAATCTCAGGAGCTTTCCTGCTCAGGCTGGGTTTGAACTGTGATCCTCAGATCTCAGCCTCCTGAATTGCTAGGATTACAGGCTTGAACCATTGGTTCCTGTGTTTTATACAAGCTTGTTTTTGTTTCTTTGTCCAATCTCAGGATGGGATCATGACTCAAGTGATAATGCCCGTGCCTGTGAAGGAAGCAGAATGCTTGGACTTCACACTGTAGTGCTGCCAAAATGTCAAAACAAAAAATAACAACAAAAACTCTATTAGCTAGGGCACTGGTAGCTCATACAAGTAATCCTAGTTACTTAGGAGGTTGAGATCTGGGATTATGGTTCCGAGTCAGCTTGAGCAGCAAAGTCTGAGAGATTAAGAGCTATAAGTGGAGCCAAGGCTCAAGTTGTGGAGGGCCAGTCTTGAGCACAAAACTCAGTGCCCAGGCCTTGAGTTCTGAGCTCCAATAGAAGCACCATAGTCTATGTTGACTATTTGTTGGGTCTATTTCTGATGTCTCTTTTCTGTTTTGTGGCTCATTTGGATTTTTCTAGTACCAGCTGTCTTTATTATGTAGCTTTATAGTAAGTTCGATGTTCTGTAGTGTTCTACCTTGTTTTCTTTATATTGTGTTAGTTATTCTGGATTTCCTTTAAACTATCCATATAAACTTCTTACCCTTCTTAAAGTTTGTCAATATCCAGAAAGTAAATTTGTTGAGGCTTTGATTAGGAATGTATTGACTCCAACAGTCAATTTGGAGAAAATCTGCATTTTAGTCATACCAAATTCTCCTTTTCTTGATCATAGTATATCTCTATATTAAGATTATCATTAATTTCAATGATTTATCACTTTTAGCTTACATTTTTTCATGACTTTTTGATAATTTAAATACCAAATATTCTTATTTTATTTTAAAATTCCATGTTCTAGCTAGGCACTGGTAGCTTACATCTGTAATCCTAGATAATCAGGAGACTGAAACCTTTTTTTTTTCAACATGAAACACTAATAAAAACATCAAGAGGCTTCGTATGGTGGTCCAAGCATGTAATCTTAGATACTTGGGAGGTTTAGATAGAAGGATTGTGGTTTGAAGCCAGCCTGGGCATAAAAGATTGCGAGACTCCCTCTCAACTAAGATGCTCCTGTCATCCCCATCAACATGGGGAAGCACAAGTAGTAGGATTGGAGTCAAGGCCTGCCCTAGGCATAAAACAGCAGTGTACTCCAAAAATAACTAGTGCAAAAAAGGGGCTGGAAGTGTGGCTCAACTGGTAGAGTGCTTGACTAGCAAGTACAAGGCCCTGAGTTCAATCCCATTATCTCCCCAACCCCCTCCCCATCTAAAAAAAACCACCCAACAACAAATCCCCGCACGTCCCCCCTCCCGCCCCCCCAACAACAATAACAAAAAACTGTGCTGACATTGGAGTTCAAAAAAGATAAATGTGTTTCAGAAAGGGACTATAGAACCCTATACAGTGAGTGGGACCAGTGGCTGGTATAGCAGCTGAGATTGCTTGAAGGTAATGAGGATGTCTTGTTGGAGTTGGGCTCATTGCTGAAAATGATGGACCAGGATAGGTCTCTGTTGCAAAGGAGGTTCTGCGTTTAGTTCTTTGAGTATCAAATTATAGTTATTCAGCATGTCTCCTGGGGTGGTGGTGGTACAGAGCATAGCCCCCTGGCTGCAGAGAGTAACTTTGTTGCTGCCAGCTGCCAAAGATGATTGCTTATATGAAGCTATGCACTTAAGGGTTCAGAAGAACACCAACAAAGCTTTCTGTCTAACAACCTGCTACCCCAGGGCATCTCTGCACTTACCACAGAGTCTCCTGATGCCACTAGAATAATTACATGAAAGATATTCTGAGATAACTGGGAAAACTAACTGAACCTGATTATTTAATATTGAAATTGTTATCTTTAGAGGTAAAGTGATAATGTCAATATTTGAAACAAGTGGAATAGGTGTTTGTGTGAAAAAAGTTGCATCAGAAGTGCACCGGCAAAGTGGAATTATTAAACATGTGACACCATCTCATGCTAAAGAAAATGCAAAATACGGTCATAATCTAAAGAGTAATTTAGTCTGAATCCAACATTAAAATGTTGGTGTGAAAAATATTAAATTTTATATTTAGGATTATCAGAGATGAATGAGGAAACAAAACATCAGGAAACTTGAAGAGTAGGTGGAGTCAAGGAGAGAGGGGTGGATAATGAGAAGGGGGAAGAATGCAGTGAAGAATTCAATGTAGGGCTGGGAATAGTAGTTTAGTGGTAGAGTGCTTGCCTAGCATGCATGAAGCCCTGGGTTTGAGTCCTCAGTACCATAGAAGCAGAAAAAGCCAGAAGTGGTGCTGTGGCTCAAATGGTAGAGTGCTAGCCTTATGCTAAAGAGCTGAGGGACAGCACCCAGGCCCAGAGTTCAAGCCCCAGGACTGGTCAAAAAAAAAAAAATTCAATGTATATCCTATAAAATTAAGAAAAGTGATGGAAGCAGTAGTGGGTTGGAAAGGATGTTGAAAGGAGAGATATTCATCAAGATGCATTTTATTTATATAAACTGCCTTATTAAATATTAACTCCTTTGTATAACTACTTAAAGATAGTAAAAAAAGAAATCTAAATAAGTATACAGAAGGTAAGGAGGATATGAAAATGAGAAACTTTAGATGTGAATTTGGGTTGGAGATGTATCTCCAGGCCAAGCAAGCCTTATAGGCATGAAGCCTGGAGTTTAAGGCCTGGAGTTCAAGGCCTAGAGTTCAAGACCCAGTACTGGCCAAAAAAGAAAAAGAAAGAAAAAGTGTATTTTCATTAAGAAATACTGAAAAATGTATTGTTTGTGAATAGGAAGAGTCAATGAGATTTTTTTTGTTGTTGTTGTAAAAATGCTGTACAGAGGGGTTACAGTTACATAAGTAAGATAGAGTTCCATTCCCTCCCTCCCTCCCTCCCTCCCTCCCTTCCTTCCTTCCTTTCTTCCTTTTTTTTTGTTGGTCAGGCTTGAATTTTTGGCCCTGGGGGCTGTCCTTGAGCTCTTCAGCTCAAGGCTATCCCTCTACTACTTGAGCCACAGTCCTACTTCTGGTTTTCTGGTGGTTAATTGGAGATAAGAGTCTCACGGACTTTCCTTTTCCTGCCTGGTCTGGCTTTGAACTGAGATCCTTAGATTTGAGCCTCCTGACTAGCTAGGATTACAAGCAAGAGCCACCAGCATCTGGCATGAGTATATTTCTTGTACTCATTGTTTCCCACTCCTTTGGATTTCTTCCACTATCCCTTCCCCCCTCCCCTCCATGGCTCTTGTCATACTACTGTTAAAATTCCTTTTTTTTTTTAATGGTGCTAAGGACCTCTCAGAACCTTGTACTTGCTAGGCCAGTGCTCTTCCACTGAGCTAAGTCTTCACTCCCTAATAATAAATAACCAAAATATTACCACAGAGTGATAATAGGCCTTCATATTTCAACATTTGCTATGGAAGTATGGTAATTAAGATAGTTGCAGAGATGACAGGTAGACAAATGGAACAGATTTCAGAATACACCGATAGCTGTAGGGGATTGGCCACATGGCAAAGGTGCCTTTAAAAATCAGAGGGGAGAGAATAGACAGTAAATGAGTGGATGGTTCTCAGGACTATGGGGCTGGCTAGTATTCCAGTAGTTTTGTTTTTGTAAGTAACGTGGCACTTTTTTGTTCTAGTGTTCAGTATTCTTTCTTTGTTCTCTATTCTTAACATTTTATCTATAATAGGATGTGCAGGGGTTTAAAGTGCTTTATGTGTGTGATGCCCATTTATTTCCCTCGATTTGAGCAAGTTTTCCCCTTCACTTGAATTGAATAGGTTTTCTGTGCCTTTAGTCTACATTAGAAAGTAATGCATAGTATGATTTGTAAATGTTTTGCTTTTTTGTGTTTTAGTTCTTTTGCGAAGAAAATGTTTTGCACAATCTTGAACTTGTACTATCCATGCTGATGGGACAGGATCCAATATGAATGTAAGTGATGGAGGAAGACGACGCTTTGAGGATAATGAACACACATTACGAATCTATCCTGGGACAATTTCAGAAGGGACAATTTATTGTCCAGTTCCTGCCAGAAAAACCTCCACTGCTGCTGAGGTGATCGACTCTCTCATAAACAAGCTTCAGCTAGATAAAAGCAAATGTTATGTTTTAGCAGAGGTGAAGGAATTTGGTGGAGAAGAATGGATACTCAACCCTACAGACTGTCCAGTTCAGCGAATGATGCTGTGGCCTCGAATGGCTCTGGAAAATCGCTTAAGTGGAGATGACTACCGCTTTCTTCTGAGAGAGAAAAACCTTGATGGGTCAATCCATTATGGTAGCCTTCAGTCATGGTTACGGGTGACGGAAGAACGCCGCAGGATGATGGAAAGGGGCTTTCTTCCACAGCCTCAACAGAAAGACTTTGATGATTTATGTAGTTTACCTGATTTGAATGAGAAAACTCTCTTAGAAAACCTACGAAGTCGCTTTAAGCATGAAAAAATTTATACCTATGTTGGCAGTATTCTAATAGTTATTAACCCATTCAAATTTCTTCCTATTTATAACCCCAAATATGTCAAAATGTATGATAACCACCAATTGGGAAAACTTGAGCCCCACATATATGCTGTGGCAGATGTAGCTTATCATGCTATGCTTCAGCGCAAAAAGAATCAGTGCATTGTGATTTCAGGAGAGAGTGGTTCTGGGAAGACTCAAAGCACAAATTTTCTTATTCACCACCTTACTGCCCTTAGTCAGAAAGGATTTGCCAGTGGAGTAGAGCAGATTATTCTTGGAGCTGGACCAGTACTTGAGGTAAGGGTATAGAAACAGTTTTATTATTCTTAAACATATCTTTTGTCTTTTGTGGGACTTGAACTCTGGGCCTGGGTGCTATCCCTGTGCTCTTCAGCTCAAGGTGAGTGCTCTACCACTTGAGCCACAGCACCACTTTCGGTTTTCTTGTGGTTTATTGGAGATAGGAGTCTTACAGACTTTCTTGCCCCGGCTGGCTTTGAACTGTGATCCTCAGATCTCAGCCTCCTGAGTAGCTAGGATTACAAGTGTGAGCCACTGGTGCCCAGTTTAAACATATCTTAAGTTCTTGTTTCATGTGAACTAAAAGTATACTAAAATTCTATAGAAGTTTAGACACTTTTAATTACCATGGGAAACTGGACATTGGCAAAGTAGAAAAAGCAATGTTTTGTAATTTTTTTTTTTTTTTTTGTGGTCAGTCCTGGGGCTTGGACTCTGGGCCTGGGCACTGTCCCTGTGCTCTTCAGCTCAAGGTGAGTGAGTGCTCTACCAATTGAGCCACAGCGCCACTTCCAGTTTTTTAGTGGTTTATTGGAGATAAGGGTCTTTCCTGTCCGGGGTTGGCTTTGAACCATGATCCTCAGATCTCAGCCTCCTGAGGAACTAGGATTACAAGCTGGCCACCAGAGCCTGGCCTGTTTATTATTTTTTAAAGTTACTACACAAAAATTAGATAACCGGGTGTCCCAGTGGCTCACGCCTGTAATCCTAGCTACTTAGGAGGCCTGAGGATCACAGTTCAAAGCCAGCCCGGGCAAGAAAGGTTGTGAAACTCTTTATCTCCAATAAACCACCAGAAGACTGAAAGTGGTGCTGTGGCTAAAGTGGTAGAACACTTAACTTGAGCTGAAGAGCTGAGGGACAGTGCTCAGGCCCAGAGTTCAAGCCCCATGACTGACAACCCTCCCCTCCAAAAAAAAAAAAAAACAAAAAACCATTGCTTTGTGTCATTAGTGATATAGGAAGAGACTGGACAGGATCAGTTGTCCCCTTAGTAAGTGACACAGCAGGAGTCCTGGCTATAATTGGGTTGTGGAACTAGATTGGGGAAAGTATTGCTGCTGATATACATTAATTTTTGTTGGTCATGGGGCTTGAACTCTGGGCCCAGGTTCTGTCCCTGAGCTCTTCAGCTCAAGACTAGCACTCAACCACTTGAGCCATAGGGCCACTTCCTGTTTTCTGAGTGGTTTATTGGAGATAAGAATCTCACGGACTTTACTGCCTGAGCTGGCTTTTGAACTGTGATCCTCAGATCTCAGCCTCCTGAGAAGCTAGAATTCTAAACATGAGTCACTGGCACCTGGCTTCCTGCTGATATATTTTTATTTCTGTGGCCTTAACCTGTGCACCTGAACTGACATTCTTAGTTTGTATTGTAAAGTAAGAGAGGTTATTGATCTGAGGGTTTTTTTTTTTTTTTTGGTGCCATTCCTGGGACTTGAACTCAAGGGTTTGGGCGCTGTCCCTAAGCTTTTATGCTCAAGGTGCGCTTCTGGCTTTGTGTGTGTGTGTGTTTAATTGGAGAGAAGAGTCTCAGAGACTTCCTGCCCATGCTTGCTTTGAACTCTGACCCTCATCTCAGCCTTCTAAGTAGTTAGGATTACGGGTGTGAGCTGCTGGTGCCTGGCAAACTGACTGAACATATTTAAGGTGTACATTATGATAAATTTTGATATGTGTCTACACCATGAAACAATTTCCACAGTCAAAATAATAAGCATCATAGTCATCATCCTAAAAGTTTCTGCTTATTTTTCTGTTATCCCTACCTTACAGCTTCACACATATACAAGAAACCACTTAAGTGCTTTCTGTCATTGCAGATTTTTTTTTATCTTTACAGTTTTATATAAATTGAATCATATAGTGTATACTCTTTTGTGTTTGGTTTTTCTTATTTTGACATTGTCAATAATTGTTGCATTTGTCAGTAATTGACTATTGCTAAGGGTGTATTATTTTATTGTGTACCAGTTTCTTTACTCATTCTCTAATGGATGTGTGGACTTTCAGTTTTTGACTATAACACATAAATTGTCTACTAGTCTTGAGGTAGACACACGCTTTCAGTAATTACTGATGTGTTTACTTTCATAGAATAGGTATATATGGAACTGTTTATCTTTTCACAAGTGATAATTATCTAAATGTTTTAATATTCTCACTAGCAATGTCTGACAGTTCCCACTGACTTCATCTCCTTGACACAGTCATTCATTCAGTTTTAGTTATCTTGATATGTATGTGGCAGGATCTCACTTTGGGTCTAGATAGCATTCTATTATACGGTTTGTTATCTGTATATCTTTTGTGGTGGAGTGTCTGCCCAAATTTATTGCCCAAGTTTTTATTTAAAAAAAATTTTTTTTTAGCTGGGGCTTGTGGCTCTCGCCTGTAATCCTAGCTACTCAGGAGGCTGAGGCCTGAGGATCACAGTTCAAAGCCAGTCCCGGCTGGAAAGTCCATGAGACTCTTATCTCCAATTAACCACCAGAAAATCGGAATTGGTGATGTGGCTCAAGTGGTAGAGCCCTAGCCTTCAGCTGAAGAGCTGAGGGACAGCACCAGGCTGTGCTGGTACTGGGGCTTGAACTGAGGGCCTGGACACTGTTCTTTAGATTTTTTTTCCCCCTAAAGGCTCTACCACTAGCGCCACAGGTTTGATTCTGGCTTTTTGGTGGTTTATTGGAGATAAGAGACTTTTGGATATATCTGCCCAGGCTGGTTCAAATCGTGCTCCTCAGGTCTCAGTTTTCTGAGTAGCTAGAATTACAGATGTAGAATAATCGGTTCCAGGCTTTATTTTTATTTTTATTTATTTATTTTTGGTCCCAGGGCCTGGGTACTGTCTCTGAATCTCTTTGTGTCCAAGGCTAGTGCTCTACCACTTGAGACACTGCATCACTTCTGGCTTTTTCTGAGTAGCCTATTGGAAATAAGAGACTCATGGGGGAAAAGGGGGTGAGGGTTGGGAAGGTGGCTCACTGGTAGAGTGTTTGCCTCGCATGCATGAGGCCCTGGGTTTGATTCCTTAGCACCACATAAACAGAAAAAGCCATAAGTGGTGTTGTGGCTCCAGTGGTAGAGTATTAGCCTTGAGCTGAAGAGCTCAGGGACAGTGCCCAGGCTCAGAGTTCAAGCCCCACTGACTGAAGGGAAGAAAAAAAAAAAGAGACTCACTGAGTTTCCTACTGAGTTTCCTACTGGGGCTGGCTTTGAACTGCCATCCTCAGTTATCAGCCTCCTGAGTAGTTAGGATTATAGGCATGAGCCACCAGCATCCAGCTTTTGTTTGATTTTTCAAAAAAATTTGTTGGGGTGGGGCTTAAACTCGGGGCCTGGGTGTTGTCTCTGAGCTCTTTTGCTCAAGGCTAGTGCTCTACTGCTTGAGTTACAGCACTTCTGGTTTTCTGGTGGTTAATTGAAGATGAGAGACTCATGGACTTTCCTGCCCAGGCTGGCTTCGAGCCACAATTCTTTAGCTCTTAGCCCCCTGAGTACCAAGGATTACAAGTGTGAGCCACCAGCTCCCAGGTTATGTTTATTTGAGATAGGCTCTCTCCAGTTAGTTCAGCTGGCCTTAAATTCACAATTTCTTCTGCCTCAGCCTCCTGAGTGCTGGTATTAGAGACATTTATTATAATGCCTAGCTGTTTTCTTTCTCTTTTATTCTTTCTTTTTCTTTTTGTGTCCAAGGCCTTCTGCATGCTAAGTACTCAGTAATCTGTCACTGAGCTATATCCCATCCCAGTTGCTGGGTTTTGTCAGTTCTTTTGTGACTGCTGGATGCACATTTTTTGATGTGATACAGAATACCATGAAAATATTTTGTATACATTTTCTCCATATTTAATTCTTTCTTAACATTCTCTTTTGAAGAGCAGAATTTTATTTTATTTTATTTATTTTTATTTTTTGTCAGTCGTGGGGCTTGAACTCTGGGCCTGGGCGCTGTCCCTCAGCTCTTCAGCTCAAGGCGAGCGCTCTACCACTTTAGCTACAGCGCCACTTCCGGTTTTCTGGTGGTTTATTGGAGATAGGAGTCTCACGGTCTCTCCTGCCCGGGCTGGCTTTGAACTGTGATCCTCAGATCTCAGCCTCCGGAGTAGCTAGGATTACAGGTGTGAGCCACCAGCGCCCGGCGAAGAGCAGAATTTTAATTTATAGCCCAATTCTGTTTTTTTTTTCTGTTATGAATTATACCTTTAGTACTATATTTTACAAAACCTTATCTAACCCATGAAAACAAAGATTTTTCTTCTTTTATAATTTTAGAGTTTGCATTTGAGACTGTGGTCCATTTCAAGTCCAGTTTTGAGTGAATATGGTGTGAAGTATGGGCCCAGTATTGCCTGTGAATATCCATTTGTTTCAGTACCTTTTCTTGAAAGACTTTTTTTTTTTGTCGGTTGTGGGGCTTTATCTCTGGGCCTGGGTGCTATCTCTGAGCTCTTCAGCTCAAGGAGAGCACTCTATCACTTGAGCCACAGCGCCATTTCTGGTTTTCTGGTGTTTAATTGGAGATAATGAGTCTCACGAACTTTCCTGCCCAGGCTTGCTTTGAACCATGATACTCAGATCTCAGCCTTCTGGGTAGCTAGGATTACAGGCACGAGCCACTGGTGCCTGGCCAATTTTTTAAAATTTATCTGTGTATATGTGTATTTATTTTTGTGCCAATACCAGGATTTGAACTCAGGACCTCATGCCCATCTCTTGGCTTTTCGCTCACAGTAGCACTCTAGTAGTGACTGGAATAGAAATGTAGGGTTAGGGCATCTGTTAAGTTTATCTTTGAATATTTGTCAGTCCATGTATGTGCCTTCTGCACAGTACAGTTTAGCATATACATGCTTCACATTTAGGAGATGTTGAGTAAATGGCTTGTTTAGGTTTCTGTAGTTAAGACAGATGTATGTCATTCTCATGATATCATGAATAGGAAAAAAACCACAGTAATTGTTTCTTTATTTTTTTCTGTCTTCCAATATATTGTGAATATTAGGCCAGTGGCTTTTTTGCTTGCAAGCTAGAACTTACAAGCAAATGTGTCCATTTAAAATGTAAAGCATCTTTACAATTGAAAAAAAATTAAAAGAGAAATGTACTTATTTAGTACCTGACTTATGTAACTGTAACCTCTCTGTACATCACCTTTACAATAAAAATATTATAAATAAAAGAGGATGTAATGAAAGATTTAAAAAAATTTATAGCTGAGCTAGATGCCATTGGCTCATACCTGCAACCCTAGTTACTCAGGTGGCTGAGATCTGAGGATCACAGTTTGAGGCTAGCCTGGGCAGGAAAGTCTGTGAGACTCTTTTATCTCCAAATAATCACCAGAAAATTAGGAGTGGCACTGGGGCTCAAAGTGGTAGGACACTATCCTTGAAGAGCTTGGGGACAGCTCCCAGGCCTTTCAAGCCCCACAACTGACTGACTGCCTCCTCCCCAATAAATAAATAAAAGAAAATATAATTAAATTCATGAAAATATTCTGCTGGTTCTAGTATGATTTGAAAGAGAAATCTGAACATTAGTAAACATTAAGTTTAAATTATTTTTTTAAATTTTATTGAATAGTAAAGTAAAATCTTGATCTTTTAGCGACTACTAATTGCTTTCATTTATTTTATCTGAACTATGAATATAAATCTAAACATAGTAGCAATTCCCTTTCTTTTGTCTCTAGCATTTTGACTCTTGGAACTGACCTAAGCATTGCTTAAATTCATTAAAAAAATTGATGTTTATTTTGTCAGGCCTTTGGAAATGCAAAGACAGCTCATAATAACAATTCAAGTCGTTTTGGCAAGTTTATTCAAGTCAATTACCAGGAAACAGGCACAGTGCTTGGGTAAGTTCTGATACTAAGTAGCAGTAGGCTTAGAACATATTTTTATTTTTGTTATTTCCCTTTTGTAAGTTATGAGCTGTAATATTGATGTGTTCACTATGATTTTTTTCCTCTCAGTGTTTTTGTAGAGGGAGAGATTGAAATCTCAGAAAAGTAACTCTCATATGCTCTCAACTTAGATTTACTGTTGTTAACGATTGCTGTCATTTCTATATATTACATCATACATTTGTTTTTTTGAATTGTTTTCAAGTATGTTGAATATATAACTTGGCACTCTTAATAGTACTGTATTTCCTAAAGCAATAACATCTGCATATTACTGTTGTTAAAATCAAGAACTTTCATTTTTTAAAATATTCTTATGTAGTCTACGATAAGTCTCCTGATTGTGTCAGCAACATTATCTATAGCTTTAAAAAAAACTAAAGACTTTAAGAGAAATTTTAGATTCATAGCAAAAATAAATGGGAAGTCACCCAGATATTTCTAACTTTTTCATCCACCATAATTTTTTCTATCATAACCATCTTGCATACTTTTTATAGAATTTATGGACCAATATTGATACAGTGTTGTTAATTCTGAAGTTGGTAGTTGGTACCAGTGTCACTTTGTGTTGTACATTGTGTATGTTTTGACAGATGTGTAGGACCATGTATATCACCATACAGAATGGTTTCCTGGTCCTAAAAAGCCTTGCTGCTCTGCTTATTCAGCAATTCCTGCCTTGATAGCGCCAAGTCTTTCTATTGTTTCTATAGTTTTGCCTTTTCTAGTATATGATTGGAATCATTCAATATGGAATCTTTCCAGACAGGATTCTTTAACCTAACATTGTATACTTAAGGTTCTTTTCTATCTCCCTATGGCTTGATTGCTTTTCACTAATGTTAAAATTACTGTTGTTTTAGAGATAATTGCACCCATGGTTGTTCCTTATTTCTGGTTGAGTTTAAGTATTTTACTATTTTTTTAGGTTTTGGTCGGTTGTGGGGCTTGAACTCTGGGCCTGGGCACTGTCCCTCAACCCTTCAGCTCAAGGCGAGCGCTCTGTCACTTGAGCCACAGGGCCACTTCTGGTTTTCTGGTGGTTCACTGGAGATAAAAGTCTCACGGACTTTTCCCTCCCTGGCTGGCTTTGAACTGTGATCCTCAGGTCGCAGCCTCCTGCATAGCTAGGATTACAGGCATGAGCCACCAGCGCCCGGCTCTTTACTATTTTTTAATAAGTAATTTTTTTTTGCATTATGTCTTCTGATTGTATATTATTTGTATATATGCATGCTGTTGATATTTTTTCTCTCTCTCTTTTTGGTTGTATTGTGGTTTGAATGTAGGGCCATATACTTGCTAGGCAGCTCTGCCACTGGAGCTAAGGCTCCAGCCTTTTTGCTTTAGTTATTTTTCAGATAAGGTCTTGTGTTTTTGTTCAGGGCCAACCTGAACCTCAATCCTTCTGCCTATGGCTCCTTTGACGCTGAGGGCACTGGAGTGCCCCATTGAGATAGGGTCGTGTGTGTGTGTGTGTGTGTGTGTGTGTGTGTGGTCGTGTGTGTGTGTGTGTGTGGTC